GCCACATGACATCACAAGGTGGATTCAGTTAGTGTTAGATTGGCAGTTCCAGGGCTGCAATTATCCAAATTATCCAAATGATTTTAGTGAAGGTGTATGGAGTTTAAAAACACAATGGAGCACTTCCTGTATCACCACATGACATCACAAGGTGGATTCAGTTAGTATACAGAATAGTATTTTAATGTATGCAGTTACTTCCCAATATTGAGAATAACACACAAGACACAAGGCAAATATGTGACAAATAAAAATAAAATAATGAAACTACTGCATCACGCCAGGTTTGTGAAGTTGTACTATAATGTTTTGTATAATGCTTTTGTATATTTATGGAAAATTGCGATATGGGAGCAAGCTTGTGGGCTGAGCAAATTGATTTTTGTTGTATGTTGAATGTTTTTTATCCTCATTTGTTGTTATTTGTCTAATTTTAGAGCTGGTATAGTATAATTTGGAACCTCATTTGGTCCAGATTTAGGCCTGAAAAAGTCAGCGTTTAGATCTGGAGCTTACTTACTATTTGGAAAAACAAATAGTAAGTTAATGCGTTTGAGAACTACTGTATTATATGACACATTACAGCTCATTTTTTTGATGTAATTATTGGGGACCGAGCCTTTGCCATGGCAGACCCAACTCTCTGGAACTCTCTCCCCGATTACATCAGAAACTCAGACACACTAAACATCTTCAAAAAATGGCTCAAAACACACTTCAGAGTCTACAGTTCCCACACACAACTGCTCCTCATTACTGTTTTGTCTCTTCTGTCCTTATTTTAGTCTTACTTTATTGTGAATGTATTATTATTAGTATTATTATTAAATTGCAATGAAGAACTTTACTACTATAAAAACGTGCTACTTTTATTTACTAGTATCGACCTAGGCTATATGTAACACAACTAAGTACTGTTGTACAAATCAGTGTTTTCCAACCTTTTGTCTTGAGTTCTCTCTAATTTATGTCATGGTAATTTTTTTGTAAGTATTTCATAAGTATAATTAGCTTGTATAGTGTCTGTTATTGCAGTATTGTATTGTCGTTTTAATGATACCCAAATGATCCCATAAAAAACAAAGATCTAAATTTTAGACCATTTTATGTTCTAAGATACTACATCTCATCTTCTTATAAAATTTAAAAAGTATGTCCTGGCAAACTGAACTAACATGTAGTAGTAGTACTAGTAGTAGTAGCTGTAGTAGTAGTAGTAATAGTAGTAGTAGTAGTAGTAATAGTAGTAATAGTAGTAATTGTAAAATGTATTATGTATTCATAAGGTGGAGCCATTTTGGGTTTTTTGCCTCTTCTATTGTCATGTTATATGTGCAAAATAAATAAATAAATAAAAATAAATAAATTGTAGTAATAGTAGTAGTAGTTGTAGTAGTAGTAGTAGTAGTTTATTCGGTCATCTTGCAGCACTACAAAAAAAAAAAAAAAAAAACAAAAAACATAGACTACAACTACAACCCCAGACTGAGGTAAAAATACTTAGAATAAAAAGTACCAAGAATTTCAAGAAAGAAAGCAGCATAGGAACAGCATGTTTGCATTTACAATTTAACATATGACTTATTGTATATATAAGTGACACATTAAAACAAACAAAATTGAATGCTTAGTGCATTCATTCCACAGCTCGATCATTTCTTTTTAAACATAATGCTTTATACCCATTTTAAAGCCTTCTACAAATGAGACTTTTATTTTTATTTTTTTAAAGATACCTGTTTTTCTAAGGTTATACTGATGTGTAACTGAGAGTAAATACAATACTATATAATATAACACCATGTAAAGCTATTAAAACATACAATATCTGCCAGAAATATCTATAATTTAACAGTATTATTTTTGCATTCTATTTTATTTAAGTATATTTGTATTTTTTCCTTTAGTATAACTGATTTTTGTACTGTTTGTATAATTTTGACACCCCAAGTTTTCTCCTACATTGGTGTCTGTATATTTGATTATGTTAAATAATAATTCAAAGAAAAAACATACTTGTGCTGTATTTTTATTCCAGCAGGGGGCAGTGTGGCTTAACGCAAAAAGCATCAAATTTGAACCACTGACCACTTGAAGCTGAGCTGATAAACCACACATTATGTTACAAATTGTCTAAACACCTAAATATCTTACGCAAAACGGTTATATGCACATTTTTACTCATTACACACTCCAGACTGCGATAAACACGGATAAGGTTTTCAAAGCGCATCTGGCAGAATATGTAGCACCATAAAACACAACATAAGGCGAACGAACGGGCTCCACGTTTAGGACCCTCCGGTGAATAGACTTGTATATGGTATGCAGAATCCGATATCGCCGCGAGGAGACGGAGAGGGCTATGAAAATGATAAAAGATAAACAATAGCTGTGTTCCGCTTGCGTGATGGAGCCGTAGCTGCAGTGGTGCTCGGAAGACTGGAGTAAAGATGGACGGTCAGGCTGAAATAAGACAGATCATAACTCAAAGCGCTCACTGTGAAATGATGGTTTTATATCGGGCAGTGTAGCTTTACTGCACAGGGAGTATACTGTACACGCAATGAGTGACTGTTATTTTAAAGGGCCCGTATTACGCTGTAGGTTTTACTGTTGGTATTGTTTAAATCATATCACAGCCCACCTCTGGATTAATCACAAAAAAGCCAGTTTGCGAAGACTGCAGGTGACTACAATGACGCTTTGAGGGTGATTTTGAGGAGGTCACGATGGACGAGTGCGACTGAAACGCTTGTTACTGCACGACAACACTCCGCAAGCTCTACTAAGAATTTGAATGTACAGTTTTATTTGCCAGCTGAACAAATCGGACAATGAAATAATGTCACTCGCAAATTTGAGATTCAGTGCAATATGATATCAGTTCAAAAGGCTCTGTTCTGGCGGGCTCTGTTCTAAGAAAAATTTGAAAATGTCCCAGTTTTCTTAATCTCCATGTCATTGTCGCATCAACAATTACAACCATACTTCAGTTTTCATCATTTCCCCACTGACACACAACTCCGAGTGCACTGGGTACATGTGATTAGAAGAGATGAGGAGCCAAATTCAAGATGATTCCAAACACCACATACGTCTGCAGTCTTCATTTACGCATAGTTGTTGAGAAACTAATATTTCCCTCCCTCCGTTTTCCAAAATAACATCGTGCACACAGCATTGTTTTTGTTTACATCGACCCGCATAAATACTCCATCGAGCGCCGTCATAATTACACCGAGTCTCTGGGCGGCACCTGGATTAGATTCAAACCTGTAGCATTTATTTCATTAAAGTATTACTCAGAAATACCTTGAAAAGCGTGCATTACTGAGCGGGCTCGCCTCTCCACAGATCTGTTAAAGAAGTGTCAAAATGTCTGACCTCTGAGCTCGTTTGTCTCTGGTCGTGGATTTGATACATCAGCTGTGTGTGCAAATGCAAACACACGAAAAGTGTTTGCACCAAAAAAATGTGACTGTTGCTCTGAATGCGGCATCATCATCATCATCATCATCATAAACACTGGTCGCACTTTCGGCGTGTCAGTTGTCTAAAACTAACTTTACATGCAAACGCCAAACCATTTTCCAGAATCTCCACTCTAGCTGGAGTTTTTAGAAAGATTCATTTTCAGAAGCGAATTCACTGTTTGCGAGTAAAAGAATGGTACAAATGAAGAGAAATGTCTCTGTTTAAAAAAAAAATCCCCATGTATGTGTAAACTGGAGCACAGTCTTTATTAACCGCTGATCACATTTACTTCAGTGGGTTTGATCACAGTCGGTTGGTGAGCCCAGTGTCGGGAACTACACCTGAAGTTGTCATCACATGTTTCCAGACGTCTTCCTGGTTTGTAATGTAAGTGTGAATAGAGCCAATATGTGGAGACACTGGTATGGAAGTCTTTAAAAACAGAAATGTTTCTTGGTTTGTATTGTCACTGTCCTTGTCTGTTGTAAAAATGGATCATGAGTCTGGAATAAAGATGAATTGAAATTGATGAACAGACCTGGAGTTGTGTTTTGTTTCATTCACACATGTTTAACACAAACGCATATTTAGGTTGAACTCTTCTCTCAAATGCTCTGTTCCACCTTGTGATGTCATGTGACAATTAGGGTTGTGCAAAAATATCAAAATATCAATATATCGTATCGTTTAATGTGATGATACAGTATCAATATTATGGACTGCTGTATCCATATATCACCAAGAGTGTTTTTTGGTATATTTTACTCAATTATTTTGTTACAGTGCTACAATTTTGTTGCTTGTTTAGTGGAAGGAACCTAATTTATTTGACATTTTCACTGTTTTGATGATTAAAGCTGATGTGTTCAATATGAACTTTGCACAAGAAGTAGATTTAACAAAGACTTTCAGCATCACAGCCATGATTTATCCATTACTTTTTACTGAACTGTATTGAATCATTTTAAAATATATCGTATCGAATCGGCAACTTCTTAATGATACATAGCCCTAGTGATAGTTCAGGAAGTGCTGTCATATCTGTTTATCAACAGTTTTTCATCATTATTTTGCTTTATCTCCATGGAGACAAACAAGTGACACCACCAGTTCAGATCTGTGGGGCGGCTACCAAACTCAAGAGTAAAAATGTTGGATTCTTAAGGTATTTTTGAGCAGTATGAAGTAACTATAAATTGAGAAATTGCTACACAGATAAACATAATACTGTGGAACATCATAGCTAAAGCAACACTAACTTAATGAGCAGAGAAGTTACATGGTGCAACCTTAAAAATCCACTACTTAAGTTGAAAAAAGATGGAAAAAGATGGTGCTTCAACCATTTTCAAGTAATAAGAATAGAATAGATTCACTCTCAGAATTTTTGTAACTCTTTCAATTAAATTTCTGTCTTTACTTTGACATTGTTGTATAATTTTCCTTGTCCGTTGCTATAGACAAATATTTAATTACAGAATTTGTTACGAAACCTTAGCTACTCTTTTAATCATGAATCATACCTGCGCTGGGAGAGGAGGGCTCACACACGCTGGACGAGTCGCTGCACGTGTTGGACACCTGCTCGGACAGTTTCTTCTTGGTGCTGTCCTTCTTGTGGTGCTTCTTCTTGTTCTTGATCAGGATTTTCCCCATGAGCTCGAAGGGACTGGGCAGAGGAACGCCGGACTCCAACTGAAAACATACACAGAGGTACAATGTTCTGTCATATTTCAATAATCAATCAATCAATCAATCAAACTTTATTTATAAAGCACTTTTCATACAAAAATGTAACACAAAGTGCTTTACACAGATTAAAAACAATCCCACATTTCCACCCACCCACCCACTAACCCAACCCCCACAGCTGCCCAACTCGACACAACCAAACATCACAGACACCCAAACCCCCCCCCCACACACACACACACACACAGACACACACACACACATTAACCTGCTAAAATACATAAAACGACACATAGTAAAATGTGAGGCTGAATACAGGCGAACCAGTTGAGAAAGCAGCATCAGAGGAGCCGAGAGACGTCCACCACCACCAGGAACCACCACAGGAGCCAAGGGAGAGATGAAGCCCAAGCTCCAACTCTCCACCAGGAGCCCACGGGACAGACCCGACAGCTACAGCCGACCTCTGCTCCTGATGCAGAGGCTCCTACAGAGGAAACACTGCATATCCTAAAAATAAGTCTAAAATAAATAAATATAAATTAAAATGTGTATAGTAGAAACAAGTAAAAAATATGATATTTCATTCAAAAGCTAAGCTAAAAAGGTGGGTCTTGAGCCTACTCTTAAAAACATGAACGTTCTCTGCAGCCCTGAGCTCCTCCGGCTGCAGGTCCATAGACGAGGGCCACAGTACTGAAAAGACGCCTCTCCGTGAGTGTGTGTCCTGACTTTGGGAATGACAAGGAGCCTGCTGCCGGAGGAGCGCAGGGTCCGCGAGGGTTCGTAGGGTAAAAGCAGTTCTGAAAGATAAGAAGGCCCAAGACCATTAAGACATTTAAAAACCAGTAAAAGAACTTTAAAATCGATCCTGAAACTCACAGGGAGCCAATGCAGTGATTTTAAAACCGGCATAATGTGGTCCCGCCCTCTGGTCCTCGTCAGGACACGTGCTGCTGAATTTTGTAGTAATTGTAAACCTGAAATACTCTTTTTGGGAAGACCAGAGAGCAGGGCATTACAGTAGTCTATTCGACTGGTGATAAAAGCATGCATCAGCGTCTCTGTGTTGGCCAGAGAGAGAATGGGGCGGACTCTGGCTATGTTTTTTAAGTGATAGAAACCAATTTTTGTAATGTTCTTAATGTGTGGAATAAAAGTCAGCTCAGAGTCAAAAATGACGCCCAGGTTTTTCACTTGTGGAGAAGGGTTAAAAGACTGTGTTTGTAGTTTGGGTAAAAGTTTCTCTCTCTGGGCCTCAGGACCAATGACTAAAACCTCAGTTTTGTCCTGGTTAAGCTGGAGAAAGTTTTCTGCCATCCAGGATTTGATATCTAGAATGCAGTTAAAAAGAGCATCCATTGGTCTGGTGTCATCAGGAGACATGGAGATGTAAAGCTGCGTATCATCTGCGTAGCTGTGGAAGTTGATTCCATGTCTCCTGATGACACCACCAAGAGGGAGCATGTACAAATTAAAAAGCACAGGGCCTAAAATGGAGCCCTGGGGCACACCACATATGATTTTATGGACCCTGGAGGAGCATGTGTCTACACTCACCATAAATGTTCTGTCTGTGAGGTAGGATGCGAACCATTTATGAACAGCACCGGAGAGGCCGAGGTCTTTTAGGCGAGTTAAAAGAATAGTGTGGTCTACTGTGTCAAAGGCAGCGCTCAGATCCAGTAGAACCAACACGGTCACCTTTTGTGAATCACAATTTATTCTAAAATCATTTAAAATCTTTGCCAGGGCGGGTCTCGGTGCTGTGGTTCACCCTAAAACCAGACTGAAATTTTTCCAAAATGTTATGATCATCTAAAAAATAATTTAGTTGAATAAAAACAAGTTTTTCTAAAATTTTGCTTAAAAATGGTAGGTTAGACACTGGTCGGTAGTTGTTAAAATCATTAAAATCTAAATTGCTCTTCTTCAGCAGGGGCCTCACCACTGCAGTTTTGAAGGCAGAGGGAAAGACCCCCGTCTGAAGAGAGCAATTCATCATGGTTAAAAGCTCATCCCTAAAAGATCCATAAAATGACTTAAAAAATGGGGTAGGAATTGGATCTAAAAGACATGTGGTGGGCCTCACTGAGGAGAAAACTTTGTCAAGCATCTCAGCATTAACCAGGACAAAACTGTCCAGTGTTTCCTCTGGTCCAGACAAACACTCAGATGTACTAAAAACAGAGCTTTGACAAGATAAAATATCACATCTGATAGTGTTTATCTTACCCGTGAAGTGGTCTGCAAACTGCTCACAGAGAGAGTCAGTGGGTGTTAAGTAAAATGTGCTAAAATCAGGGTTTAAAATGTTGTCGATGGTTGAAAAAAGAACTTTTGGATTATTTTTGTTATTGGTTATTAATGTAGAAAAGTAATGGTTTCTTGTGTTTCTTATTGCGTTGTTGTATGTACGTTGTTGATCACTAAATAATTGATAGTTTATTATAGTTTTGTTTTTTCTCCATCGTCGTTCTGCCCTCCTGCACTCTCTCTTGGATTTTTTCAGCTCTTCATTTCTCCATGGGGGTTTTAGCTTAGTTTTGATGTTTTTAGTTTTGAGTGGAGCAACCAGATCCAGAGCTGACCGTAGTCTACTGTTAAAATGGTCAGTGATAAAATCGCAAGGGGCAGGTAAAACAACTGGGGGATTTTTATTTAAAACTTCGATAAAATTTGCAGCCACTTCAGGGGTCAGACGGCGCTTCCTCACAGTTCTCACAGAGGTCTCCCGGTGTATAAAACCAGTGATGTTAAAAAACACACAGTAGTGGTCAGACACAGAGGACACACTAGTGGTCAGGCCATAGGTGATGACCAGATCCAGAGTGTGTCCTCTGTTGTGAGTTGGCTGTGTGATGTGCTGAGTAAAATCCATATAATTAAGAACATTTAAAAATTCATTTGCGACAGGATCTAAAAGGTTATCTATGTGTAAGTTAAAATCACCGGTTATAATAATCATATTAAAAGAATTGTGTAATATAGATAAAAACTCATTGATAAAAATACTACATTTCTTTGGTGGTCTGTAGACTGTGACACATAAAATCTGGGGGTTGCTAAAAACAATTGAGTGGTGTTCAAAAGTTGTAAAATTATTCAATAAAATAGGTTTGGTGGCCAGTGTGTTTGTACAGATAGAAGCAGTGCCACCTCCCCTTTTACCATTCCTGGTTGAAAAAGCAAAGTTAAAAGTGGGTGGTGAGGCCTCTGTGAGAACAACTGGTGCATCTGTACCCAGCCATGTTTCTGTTAAAAAGAAGCAGTCAAGTTTGTGTTCTAAAATCAGGTCATTAACAATAAAAGATTTGTTCAGCAGAGAGCGGACATTTAAAAGGGCCAAACAAACTGATATTTTGCAGCTGATGTCGTCAACGTTCTCTGGGGGTGGGATTCTAACCGTGGGCATTTTTCTGTCTGAGAATTAAACACCTAAACATGACCATGAAACTTGTACAGATCACAGACTCCTGGAAATGTGTTGTTTAAAGCCGTTTTGTATTTTTTGTTGAGTTTTCAGACAAACTTTAAATGTATTTGGCTGTGTTTGCTGATGTGTGCATTGTGTCTCCATGGTAACTGGTGAACATTCCGCCAATACACATTCATGTAGAACACCCCCAGCAAAGTATCAGTACTGCATGAAGTGCAATGTTATTTTTAACTCTTTGTCTAATACTGTTAATGAAACTTAAACTACAGTCAGACTGCAGGGCTTAATGCTCTATTCTGATTTTTTTGTGGAATCAGATTTTTTTGTGAGGTTGTTCACAATTCCAATTAAATGTGACTTGTATGTGATCTCCAGTGTGAACTTTAAATGCCCTAAAAGTGTCTCACATCTGCACTGAAGGACACAACAATGTCACACGCATCAAGTGAGCTCATTATTTACTAAGGGTGTGCAAAAATATTGAAATATCAGTATATTGTATGGTTTAATGTGACGATACAGTATTGATACCGTGGGCTGCTGCATTGATATATCATCAAGAGTGTTTTTTGATGTATTTTACTAAATTATTTTTATTATATTACAGTTTTGTTGTTTGTTCAGAGGAAGAAACTCATGCGACACATTTGACATTTTCACTGTTTTCATGATTTAAATGTTTGTGTTTCATATGAACTTTGCATAAGAAGTGGTTTATTTTTAGTATCACAACCATAATTTAGCAATTATTATTTATTGAACTGTATCGAATCGATTTGAAATATATCATATTGTATTGAAAGTGCACTGTATTGACATATGTATCGTATCAAGGTATGTATCGTATCAGCTGCTTCTTAATGATACCCAGTGTTTATGGAAGTCGTATAAAACTCTGGGCTTGTCTCCCAAAATAAGGTCCAGTTTTTCATAAAATGCACAGGTCACACGTCCGGTCTTTATAAAGTTTTTATCCTCCTTGCATTTGGCTCAGACTCTTTATTTTTTGTTGACATTGGAGCCAGGACGCCTGTAGCCGCGCTCGGACATTTCTTTGGCAATTGTTTCAAAAACTGCCCGGTTCCGGTAAGACTCCTCCAGTTTGACCTGAATACAGAGATCCCCCCAAATATGAATGAACTCGCTCACCTCGCTTTCCCTCCATTGACTAGACTCTGAGCCTGACGTGTAGGTGGGATGAATGTGACCTGACCGTTCACACTGAAGTCACATGTCAAAAGAAAAAATTCGGATCTGTGTCGCTCAAACTGTCATTAAAAGATCAGATTCAGGTCGCATAGGGGCAAAAAAATAAAAAATCAGATTTGGGCCACTTCAGGCTGCAGTGTGAACAGAGCCTTAGATCATCACGTTACCTTTCATTGTTTTAAAATGCTTCACCAAAAAACAACATATTAACACGTTTTATAAGTTCCAGCTTGTTTCTTCTCTCTTTGCTCTCCTCGCTTAGTCACTCCCCCTTCAGAGCACTATCGCAACACTATCTGCGAAGTTATAGCGGATTGTTTTGTATCACGCTTTTGTGTATTAATAGAAAACATGA